TTTTTTTTTTTTTTTTTTTTTTTTTTTTTTTTTTTATGGTAGCACCATTAGGTTGCTAGCAACCTGTGCTGGATTTGACCTAGCAAGCAGAATTAAAGAACTTATTTTTGAAATTGTTCGCTGCCTATATTCAAGCTCTCTGGAAGCAATGACATTTATGTTTCAAAAGTAACAGTATAATATTTAATTTTCAGGTAAATGAACTTACTGAAAATAATATCTTGCTGGAAGACAAACTAAAGAAGGGTGAAGAGAAGATTATGAAACTGCAAGAAGAATTAACCACCGAAAGGAATATCCTTGTTGAACAAGTTCAACATCTTCAAGAACAGACAGAAAACAACCTGGTTAGTTATTGCACAAAGAGCAGACTTTTCCTAGTTTGAATGCCTGGTCCTCAGCTCCTATAATTCTGTAGTGTTCTATTGAATTCAACAGATTTTAAGGACTTTAGGAAACTGAGATTCTGCCCCCGGTGCTTTTAGAAATGTAGTATTTAATTCAGTCTTCAGTGTTCTTTATCTTTCCCTTGTATTCTATATCTAAAAACTCTTTCACTGAGAATGAAATGCACTGCTTTTCTGTTACAGACATGTATGTGGCTGTAACTAGTATCTTGGATCACTTGCACAAGTATGGCATTTCTCAAGTATTTAAAAAAAAAAAAAAAACAACCCCAAAACTTCTTGACAGCTCAGCTGTAGATAAAGCTAAATTTTGTGTTCATGACTTGTTTATTATTTCATTCTCAAAATCCCACAGTTCATATGAAGTGGAGCCTTATGTGCAGTAGTGAAGATATCTTCTGATTTTAAATAGACTGTAGTTGGTGCTATTATGTACAAATGACATACTTATGGGCCTTTTTCTATTGCTATTGATATCAATAGCTGTTTAGCCATGGACTTCAAGCTAGTGTGACTTTTATGAAATATATCCAGAAGTAACTTCCTTTTGTTCTAATTGCCTGACAAGTACAGTCACAAAACAATATGAATACTTTCAAATGTTGCTTCCTCTTGGTGATTGTGAGACAAATGACTGAACTTGTCAGAGAATTATCACTAGAAACAGTTATGTCATGTTAAAGGGATAAGCTTTGACTTTAATGCTAATTTTATTGCTGAGATTAAGTTTGTTCAGCTTGGTGCTAAAATACCTGTTCGCAATTAATCTTGGTATTGTATGCTGCTGTTTTGTACTAAGATTTTTGCACTAAGACTACAGCGTACCTATATGCCTAATAAATACTGTTTCTTTTATCTTGTATATTTTACCATTCAAAGATTTGTTTTTCCAAATGAAAAATCAGTTTTTAACGTACCAATTATTTCTCCATCTACAGTAATGCATTTACCAAATGGTCATGTTTGTTTGCAGATTCAGCTGAATCTAAACACGTTAGAAAAAACAGAATTGAGTAACAGTTTGGATAAGGTGCAGAAGGAACTGGAAGAAAAAGGAAGAGAAATGAAAAGAGAACTGTCAGAATATCAAAGAAGGCTTCATCAAATGGAGAAGAATCATCAGGTTGTTCTGGCAGAAACAAACAAAAAGGTAAAATAAATTAAGAAATGTTATGAAAGGATTTTAAACTAAGGGAAGTTTAAATACTGGAGTAAAAACACTGATTGTATATCATATCCCCAAGAAAGTTATCTTTGCTATGGTATTTCATAGCATTTGGTTTAAATAATTGCTGTGGGAAAAGATGAATATGCCATATTTTTTTTATATACCGCATGCCCCCAAATAATATATGCACTTTGCTTTTGGGAAGGCAGAATTAAGAAATGATTTTTCCAGAGTTATCAGCATAGAGCAGGGACAGAACCTAATCTTTCCTTTCCTGTTCAGGCAAAAATTACAGTTTTAACACTTTCACAGCTGAATTGTCAGCAGCTCGTGGGTGTTCTGCCAGAAGCTGAAACTGTAGCTGCTGATGAAGACTGGACTGCATGAGCAGAACTAGGATTTTGAAAAGAACTAAAAATAGTCTGCAGGACTGTGAAATAGATGAGAGATCAGGGCTAGCTAAATTTCAAATTCTTTAGGAGTATTGCTGAAGAAAGGATAGCTTGATTAGTGTAACACCTAGACCATTAAAAAGGGGAACTGGGCCTTTAACACCTGTTAAGAGAAGCGGTAATAAGCGGTAATCGGAGAGATTCTAACGGGCCATGAATTCAGTTGGCTCCCTCAGTGCTGCCTGAATAGAAACGACACTTCTACTGTTCTCATCAGAAAATTTAGACTTGCACCCCAATTTTGGAAGACTACATTTTTGGTAAAAAGTATATGAGTAAATACAGTACATCATGAACCTAGTATCTTCATAAGTTGTGTACACATATCTCCATTAGAACTACTCGTGAACGAAGATTACCAAGACTGGGCCTAAAGTTACAGAAATCTAGGCAAGGATAAGGGTCATAGCATAGGGAACAGTGAAGGAAAGAATGAAATTGGATTATATTTAAAAGGAGAAAGCAGCACGAATTAGGAAGTGTGTGGGGGGGGGGTGCACCATGCACTCCTGCAGCTGGGAACCCTCTCAGGTGATATGGTCCCAGCCATAAAGGTGAACCTAGCCATATGTTGAATTAATGGTGTGATAGGAACCAGCCACAAAGTTGTTGTTCTTTTCTTGTGGAATAACATTCTGGCTTATTCTTTATTTTATGACACCATTCATTTCTTTAATGTGTGGCAGGGGTGTGAGTGAGAACTATAGCTTTTTGAACCTGCATTACAATGAATAGGTGTATAAGGTGCAAGCCAATGAAAAACATGACCTGGGATCTTCAGATCTAAAAAGATAAACTGGTGATTGGGGCATCTGGATGGAACACTTGACAGACAAAAAGTATGTGAACAGAAGAGAGAGAGCTTGTGGAAGAGGGCTTTGATTCCTAAAGTTAAGTTAGCGTAAGAATAGACTTTTTAGTAGAAATGCTAATATGGGATATGGACAAATACACTTTTTAATTGCTTTAAAAGAGAATCACTGTTGCTCCATAGTGTGCATCAGCTGTTAGATGCAACTGTTATGCCTGCATGATCCTGTAGCGATACAAGTTACCTGCACTGCTATAATGTTTAACCCTGGATGAAAGAGGGTTAAAGTTGTAACAAGTAGTGATACAGGTACTTCATTACATACCATTACAGTGTAATAGCTTATGTCCCTATCATTTGATAACGATAGATGTAGCAATATATTTGCCTAAATGGTACCCTAGAGAGCCTATGTGATAAATAACATGCAGAAATACTGGTAAAATATAAATGATATGTCCAAAACTTTCAAAAGCAGCTAAAGATAGACCCTCCAGTATATTGAAAATCTGCTGCACCCTGATGTGACTTGGTTTAGGGCCCCTCTTCATCCATAAAAGTAATAAAGGACTGGTTTTGTGAACTCAAATATCGTCTAGCATTGTTGTAAAAAAGACAGTGATAGGTTTCTTTCTAACTAGTTAAGATTTACTAAATGTACTGAAAAATGCGTAGGGATGCTATACTGGCATGCTTTAAACGGTCAATGTAGTCCATAGCCATAAAAGTTCCTTCTTTCTCCGTCTGGAAAAATCATTGTCTGCCTCTGCAAATACATATCTAGATACGTTTCAAGATGCCCAATGTTATAAATCATTCAAAATTGTTATTTGTACTGTTATGTTGTTTTCATTCCTGTGATTTACGTGAGGTTATTTTTAAATTCGGTTTTTTTTGGGTTTTAATACTAGAATTCTCCCATCCAGGATTTGTGTGTGCAGTATTTACACCTAAAGCATGGTCTTCATGATATTAGAAATTTCTCTCATAATGTTGTGTAAGATTACTGTAGACTCCTGAGGATGGTAAGCATTTTAATACAGCTTTCTGTGGCCAATTTAAAACCATCTTGGTTAACCCTATTTTCTGTCTATAGAATGAACTTGAAACTATGGCATGTCAAGACAAACTGAAGTCATTGGAGCAGTGTATCAGTGCACAAAAGTTGGAGATGGAGCTCCTGAAATCAAGTAAAGAGGAATTAAATAACTCTCTGAAAGAAGCCAATCAGATGATAGAGGGCCTTACAAAAAACAAGGTATTTTATTTTCTCTACCTACACTTTAGGTTCTGACTTGCAAATTAACTTTCTAGCTAGAATCTAGGAAAAAGTATAGTCTTAAGTCCAGTAGCTTCAGTACAGAACTGACAGTCTAATCCTCATGAGCTTTTCTCTGGCTTTTAACTGGCAAATCAGTTGGTGCTTGTTTCTGCTGGAAAATCACGTGCAATAGATGTGACTTAACATTCACCCTCTAGGGTCAAGCAAGATTGTCTGACATGATACTAATGTGACTGTCTAGTCTCTATACTGAATGTGTAACTTTGTATTACATAGCATATTAGTTAATACCTATTCTAATTCAAAGTAATTTTCTGAAGTAAACAGACCTGTATTGTTTTTGAATTATTTTGGACATAAGATTTGCTACTTTCTGAAGCAGTAGTGTCTTATTACTGTACACTCAATTTGTGAGCATATCCGTTCTGACTGATGAAGAATTTCCATCTGATTTATTTATTAGCATGGTTCTTCTTATGACTGAATGCTTACTGATGATTGGATAACAATGTGAATGCTATGTAGTTGCAAAAAAATTGGTAAAAATTGCTTTGAGTTTTATTTAGAAGGAATAAGGTTTTGGTGTTTGCAGTCAAGCCGCAGGAGCAAAGTTTATCGTGTCCATTCAACTGAATTTCTGTTTTCCAAAGCTATATTGCTTTACCCTCACTCTCCCTCCTTCCCTCTATGATGACTGACTAGCTGCAGTTCAAATGATAACTCTCACTGTGAAGAAGTGCTCTTATACATTGGATCCAATGTAATGACTAGCAGGCAGTAAACTATAATATTTGCTGCACAGCCACAGAAGCATCATGCCCTAATGTCTTTATCCTATAGTTCCAGGTAGCCACATTTTATTTATTCTGATGCTTTAATCTATTTTTCCATGGGGCAGACACACATCTGAAATGCATGCTTTTCAGCTGGGTTTGTCAAGAAGTTATTTTAAACCTCAGTCTTGCATTCAGCTGAAATAGACAGGAAGTTAGTTCTGACATAAGGCCATCTGACTTCTGAGCTGTAGGGGGCTGCACTACTGCATGTGCTCCCTTCAGCTGTACAGGCAGTGCAGGTAGTAAAACTTCTCCCCACCACCTTCGAAGGGCTACACTGCCCAGACTCCAGGAGTAGGGGAAGAAAGCAAAAGCTGGAAGAGGGAAAGGGACCCTGGAGACTGAAGCAGAAGGAGTGGTACAAGGAGAGCAACTGGTTGGGAGTCTGCAGGCTGGGTGTTAGGAGAGCTGCCAGTTGGACAGCCTTATCTGAATGCTCACAATTTTTCTAGAGTTCACATGCAGAGTTTTATTCTTGTAAGCTTCACACATGGTTCTTTAATAAGTATGACTTTAAAGTCTCTCAGAATTAGGAGCTCCTGTAATTTAATTGCACAGCTCTGGTCCTCTTTTTTTATTTTTTATTTTTATTTTTTGTAGGCAGACAATCTTAAGACCATAGTTCAGCTAAAGAAGGATATTGAATTGGCCCACAGTAAATTGCAGCTCTGTATTGAATCCTGTAAACAAATGGAGCAAGAAAAAGAAGTTTTGCAGAAACAAGTTGTTGAACGGGATGCTTTATTAAAGGAACAAAATCAAAGTAAGTAATTTCAGAAAAAATATGGGGTATCAGGATGTCTTGCTATAAGTTAGTAATGACGCATTTCTTAATGGTAATACGTTCATTTCTAAAATGCTTTTCCAAACGTCTGTTATTATGCAGGGTTTTAAACGGGGACAGATCTTCAGCTAGTGTAAATCTGTAGCTTTCTGAACCATGGAACTATCATTTGCACTAACTGAAAATCTGCTGAAGATTTGTCTTTTCAAATTTCAGAGGCTGCTATGTATTTTGAATATACATATTCAATGCCTGGATTTTGAAATCAGAACTGGCATTTATTTTGATGGCAGTAGATTGTTGCATGTAACTTCTTGCCATTTTGGCTCAACATTTTGTACTGCTCACTATAGAAGTACGGAATATTGGAAATGCCCGTTCTTTCTGTTTTTAGTAAACACAAAGAAAAATCACATTCTGGGAATGGATAACTGTTAATGCATGAAAAAATGTATTCTGTAACTTTATGGAAAGTCAAACCTGAAAATACTTTTTGGTCCTCCTTGAGTTATAGACAGCGAGAGAAGCTGTCTTTTATGGTATTACATTTCAGTCAGTACCATTATTTTTTTCTAGCTATCAGCTTGGCAACAGCTGCAACTTTTTGGGGCGAGGAAATGATAGGTAGAAAAGATTAAATTCCCTCCTTGCACTCATCAGAACCTCTCCAACAATTCCAGAAGAGCTCACGATTACTGAAAACATATTGGGTTTTCAGTAATCATGAACTTTTCTGGAGTTGTTAGAGAAGATAGAGCTGATAGGAAAAAATTTAAAATGTTTGTGAACAGTATGTAAAATAGGAATATTTGTCTGACAATGTCATCATATAGATCAGTGCATACTATTTAGTGTTCAATAAGCATTGATAATTAGTATAAACAGGTTTCCATAAATTATCTGAAAACCTGCAATCAATTCTCCAAAATTGAGGGCCAGAAATAATGCTGTTTGTGCACCCTATGTCAGATGCATTCAGATTCTGCATATGTTGTAGGTCATTTTTTTTATTGTATAGTGTCCTTTTTGGTTATAGGTCATTGTCCCCGAAAAACATACACCCTTTCTAATTGGTTAACAAATATTTGATCACTGTATTCTAAACATCTCCTTGTAAGGGATCTTTAAAGCTATTCAAATAGGTAATGAATCTTTGTTTTGCTCAGCTGTTGCTGATGGTGTCAGTACAGAAGAAATGAGGTTGAAGCTTGAAGAACTGCAGGAATCTGTAGAAGTGAAAACCAAAGAAGCAGATGAGAACCTGGAGAAGTACTGCTCTTTGATTGTTAACTTCCACAAACTAGAGGAAGCAAATGAAATGTTAAAAACGCAAGTCTCCCTGCTGAATGCTCAGCTGAAACCAACAACAGACGTTGTTGTCAGTAATTCTCCTTTGCACAGTTTGGATAATCCAGTAACAGTTAATGATCAGCCAGTTACAAAGAGGAGGTTGAATGAGGAGTCAACTCGGTGTTCAGGTAAAAGGCGAAGAAGTCAAGAAATAAAGAAAGAAAATGGAGTACCAAGATCTCCTATACCAGAGACGTTAGCTAAAAAGCTTAAAAAAGGAGCTATCTACCAGGATTCACTGAGTGAGAACACAGAATATCAACCAGAGGGACTCCCAGAAGTGGTGAAAAAAGGTAATTGCAACTTCAGTATAAGGTGTAATACCACCCTCCTTGCATTCCATATTGATGGGGTAAAATTTTTGTTTCTATGTTCTTAAATAGTTATGTTGCCATATATGGAATAAAAGTCACTGAAAGAAGTGGGATGCCATTTATTAAATTCAACCCTCATATATTTGGCATAACTCATTAATTCAACTGCTTGTCATGTCTGAGTTTAGGTCCAAGAGTTGTAAATACAGTTCCATGCAAGTAAAGCTGTGGGCTGGTCTATCTTGTTTCCACAGTATATAGTTTCTAGTAGTCTGATCCTTGTTGTCTGTGTGAGGTCTATCCATGTTTCCTTTTAGTAACTATGAGGACAGTAAAATTGCTAAACATTTGGAAAACAAGGGGTGTAAGGTTAGTCTTCCCATCCACATTTGGGCAGTTGAATGATTTTTGAAAGGGCTGAGCAGCTAATGGTTCTGTGGATTTTGGTTGGAGCTGTTGGTTACTTAGCACTTCAGAAAATCAAGGAGATGCCTAAATATGGAATTAGAATCCTAAGTTTAAGTTGGTAGTTTTGAGAATCTTGGTTTAGATCAGTAATTCTTAAGTAGTGGGGCACGGCTCCCTGGGATGCCTTGATATGTTTTAAAGGGTGCAACAGGGTACCAAGCAGTGTTAACGTTGCAAGCAGGCAAACATGATTCATAAGGTAAACCCAGAGATTTCAGGTAGGGTTTCTTAGTGTTAAACACAATCTGCCCTGCTGTGCTTCTGAATTCTTTGTAACAGAACTGCTCTATTATTTTTCTGTAGTCAAAAAATAAGTGTAAAGGTAAAAGCTGGCATTTTGAGGGGTGCTTTAGTGCTTTAGTTTGACCCCAGTACTCTTTCCTGCCATGGCAGGGGGTTGCGCTAGATGATCTTCTCAGGTCCCTTCCGACCCTAGAAACTATGAAACTATAAAAAGGTTGAGAATCACCTGTCTAGATAAACCAATCCCTTTTTAAGTTTTAGACCAGTGTTCCTCAACCAGGGGGTGATAAGGTACGCTGTGGGGCACTGTTTCCTTTGAATGGTGCCATGAGGTGTGAGAAGATGAGCAGAAAAACAAAGTAGATAAATGTAGGTCCAGGTATGTCTCTGCCTGAACCATCCTCCACCCTCGCTGCCCAGCCCCTCTGCACGGGGGTAAGCATTGTCACATATAAATTTTAATTTTTGAAATTGGTGCCTCTCCGTTCACAAAAGTTATAGAGGGGTGCCTCAGGTCCAGTGAGGGATGTCTCGAGTCCTGTGAAGGGCGCTTTGAGTGCAGAAAAGTTGAGAAGCATTTTTTCAGACTCAACAGCACTATAGGGCTGAGGGAGTGATACTTGAGTTACTCCTGAGATTTCAGCCTCTTATGCATGCATCTAGGTACTCCAAAGTATCTTGTAAAAGTTCTCCAGCGAAGTAGAGTTTCTGGAACATATTCCTAGCATCACTTTTCCTTCTCCAAACCTACTAGAAGAAAATTGGGGGGCCATCTATATATACCTTAAAGAACACAAATGGGTTTTTTGCCTTATTATTCACTTGTAAGGTACAATATTTACCTGTAATGAAGACAACTCTGAATTTACGACAGCCCCCCCCCCCCATTAGATTCTATACATGGAATATGCATAAATTTGTTACTAGCAGTACACTGAGATATGGGTCTGACATTGGATCGGCACTGATATAAAGAAAATCGATTGTATCTGAAATCGGCCAGGTTTCGGCACAGCACATAGGTGATGAGCATAGCTCGGCAGCGTGGAGAGCTGCATGCAGCTGGTAAGTCTGTGGGGGGGGGTGCAGATCACCTCTGCAGTGAGGGAGGGAATGGGGCAGGCGCTGCCCAGCTGGGGTGGGGTGGGGTGCGAGACAGAGCTGTGGCTCATTTTGTGGGGGGTGCAGCTCCCGCTGCTGTACGCACATGGTAGGGGCAGCATGTGCCCTGGATCTTTGCGGGGGGGAGGGGCTGCAGCTGTGTGCTGTGGCTGTGCAAGGTTCTTCTTGTCGTGTGGAAGCTGCGCTTGCGGATGCAGGGCTGCACTCCTGGTGCATGGGGCTGCACTCGGGGCAGGTGGTGGCAGCGCTGGGAGGGAGGTTATGGAGGGGCTGCAGTCACCCCAAATTTCACCGTAGTCCCCCCTGTAACCCCATCCCAGCACTGCTGCTTGCCCCGAGCATGGCCCCCATGCACCAGAAAGAGCCTAGTGCAGCCCTGACCCCAGCCCCACCCCCCAGCGCAAATCTAGGGCACATGTTGTGCACCCCCCACGCTCCTTCCGCCCTCCCTCCCCTTCCACCACAATAAACTTACTAGCTGTGTACAGCTGTATCGGAAATCGGATCAGTATCGGACAATATGCCTCCTTAAAAATCAGCTATCCGCCCCCAAAATCTCTATTGGTGCACCCCTCTTTGTTATAATTTTCCATGTATAGAACCTAATTATTGAATGGTTATTTTTAAAATTCATTTCACTACTGCAGTAGGGGAACCAAGTGGTAGGGGGTAGGCGGTAGGGGAGTCAAGCAGCTTGATCCCTGCCTGTTGCTCCCCAGTACTTTTGCTCCTTGCCATTTGTCCCACCTATGGCTTGCTGCCTGCCCCCCTGTCTGGCTCTCCTAACCTCTGTTGCTGCAGCCTTTGCCCTGCTGCATGCCCCCCCTCCCACCCACCGCTGCTTAGCCTATGGCTTCAGCTTGCGGCACAGAGCATATGATTGCTCTAGGCCAACTTGATAGCAGTGACAGCTCTGACCTGGGCTTCTGGGCTGGAGATGCTGCCGCTGTTGCAACAACAACTGCTACTGTGCCTAACTGGGGTCAGAATAACCACACACTCCATGCCCCAGGATAAAACGGGGCTGGAGCCCTGATGAAACCCAGAGGTGGGCAAGGGGCGGTAGTGGTGGTGGGGCTGGCAGCAGCTGAGGCCCTAAATCTAAGATGAGTCTTCCCTCCCACCCCCCATATTAAATGGGAGGGGAGGGAAAACCTCATCCTGGATTGGAGTACAGCTACTCCTCTGAAAGTTGTACTTTATGTTCTTGAAAAATGCAACTTTAAGCGAATCTAATTACATCACTCTAGTTACCTACTAGCAGGCTGTAGCCAAGCAACATTATAATGGAGCATTGTACGACTTTACAAGAGTATGTTTTCTAATAGATCAGACATGTAATAACGAAACAACATTAACCAGGATGATGTTAAGTGAGGAGTACCTGTAAATATCGTATGTATTTGACACTGACGTGTTATGAAACTGGTGGCCACGGGGATGCTTGCTATAGAAATTAGTACTAAAGTAGTTATATTTTTCCCCTTCATGGGCTCCTGCAGCTTTTATAGTGCAAAATTTCCTCACTAGTTTCACAGAGGGGGTTAACAGTCTATTGCAAGCTACATATCCTTGAAGCTTGGTTCCATCTTCTTTAAGAATACATCAGAAGAGTAGTTGGAAGTATGTGTATATGGATCCATTAGAATTGAGAAGGTGGGGTGATTGCACAAGGAAGACCTTCAGGATCACGTCTGAGCACACATCCCTAATTGCACTTTTACAGTAAATGTGATTTTTAGACCAGAAGGGGTCGGTCCTGGAGAGTACTGAGTGTTCTTAGCTCCAGTAGTTGACTCTAGAAGTTGAGTGCTTAGACTTGCAGTTTACTTGCTATGATTGTTGCAAGGAACAGTGTAAGCAACATCCTGAGAATGCAAGGCAGCCCCCAATGTATTTTATTTACTGGAATAAGTCCCATTTATCAATTAGGACAGGGGTGTCAAAGATATGACTTGCAGGCTGGGTCTGGCCCATGAAGCCGTATCATCCAGCTGTAGTGCTGGCCCTACGTCTTGTTGACCCATACACCACACTGGACTGACCTGACCAGGGTGGGGTTGGGGGGCAGGGTCTGTGCTGTTCATCTGACCCCTGTGGCCAAAGGAGTTTGACCCCTGAGCTAGTGTTTTCTCTGTCAAAATGGGTGAGATCAAATTGGCTAGAACAATAACATAACTAAATCAACCAGGTCTAATGGGAAATTGTTTGTTTTTCAGGGTTTGGTGATATCCCTACTGGAAAAATTAGCCCTTATATTTTACGCAGAACATCTTTAAACCTGAGAACCAGTCCCCGCCTTGCTGCCCAAAGCCAGAGATCATCACCATCAACCCAGAGCTTTCAAAAAGGCAGGTCAGATAATCTTGCTGAGCTCTCCAAACCAACAGCTGGTGGCAGCAAATCACAAAAGGTAACTGATACTGTATAAAAATGTCTAAAGCATAGGAAATTTCCATTGTGCATTTATCTTGCCAAGTGGGTCTGAGGATATACCACCTTTCTTAAATATGCCAAAAGCATCTTGAAGACAAGGCCATGCATGTAAATACAATGGATAAATCTGAGAGTATCGGAAGTCTGGGCATTAATGGTAATTTTAAAATTGTTTCTGTGGTCAAATTTGTGACCTTATACCAAATGCCTAAATTGGATAACCTAAACAGAATGCAAATCTTTAAATTTTTTTAAACAGCCATTCAGAAAATGCTTTAATGAAACTTGTCTGTACAGCCTTAATTTTGTTCTTTTGTTCGTGTATTGCTACACAAGCTTTAATTTTTCACTTGAAACTTGACAACATAATTTTAGTGAATTTTTATCCACCAAATGTCAGATGCTAAAAAGATATGCCTGTTATACACAGAAAACTCATACTACTGCAAGAGTGGAATCGGGGCCTAATGCTGAAAAGTTTTTTTGCTGGAACAGAATTCAGCTGCCCTGAAGCACTAAGTTATAACCAAAGCAGCTGCTACAGTTTAACAGTTGCTCTGCAGGAGCCTGTAGCTAGATCACTCCAACTTGATCCCTGGAGAAGCAGGGTTAAAGTTGGAGCAATTTTGCCTCTGGGGTACAGCAGCTGCCACTCCCCCTTTGAAGCTGTGCAAACCTCTGTCTTTCCATGAACAGTATTTCAAATTGCGATGCTATGAGCCTACTAAGAACTCAGGAATATAGGTATTGGTGCTCCTTCTTACTAAGGCTACCTAAAAGGATGCCAGTGGCTGAATGTTCTGGCTTACTAGATAACACAAAAGCAGTACTGAAAATATCCCTGGATTTTTTTTCGAGTTGAATGTCAAATCAAATATAGGGCAACCACAGAGTATCCCTATGTTCTGTTATGTTTTATCAGCCTCTTGAAGGCTCAGATCAAGTGTAGTCTATACTTGGTGGAAGAGTTTGAGTTTAAGGTTAAATAGGGCAATTATGACTGTCTATTCTGATCTTTTGACTAGTACAGGGAATAGAATTTACCAAACAATTTCCTGAATATGAAGGCTTGAATTTTAAATTTCCTTTTTTTGGCTATAAGGTGTCTTTTTAAAAAGGATTTAGTCATGTTTAAAGACTTCTGGTGGTAGAGAATCCACTATGCTCAAAGGCATGTTGTTTCAGTGGTTAAATTACCTGTTCTATTAAAAATGTGCATTTTTTTCCATCTTAGATATTCTTTGGATATCCTGTTATTGTTTCCATAAATGACCTCAATAAGTTTGATTTGCACTCCTTTCCTATACACATCCCACAATACTTTCCAAATGGACAAAGTTCTGAGAATATGTAGAGAATCCCAGTATTCCTGGAAGAATTAAAAGGAAGTCCTGTGTACTAGTCACACATTGGAAGACATCTGATTCAACCCCCTTCACAAATGTAATAGGTTTTTAAGAAGCTTGTAGATCAACAAGCTTGTAATAGAACATATTTATTGATTGCAGCAGTATAATGAAAGTTATAACAAATAAGCAGGCCAGTAAGTAACATGGAGCTGGCGGGAGCAGTGTTTCTCAGAGCTGTCTGTTGCTCAAATTTCCTGTAAATAATTTGTATGAGGACATCTTGTTCCTAACCTTAATAATCAAAAACGCTGTACAGGTGAATAGTAGTATAGTGGAAGATAAGAATTTCAATTGTTACTATTTCAGTACAGGTCAATAGGAGCCTCGTCAGCTGTAGGAATTACACTATGTCCATTAACTCTTTCAGTCACTTGTAGGGTATGTGTAGTTGCTTTTTTTTCAGCAAGGAATACTCTTCTTGTCTTGCAAGTTTGCATTGACATAGGACAAAACTACAAAAAAATTGCTGTTCAGGAGTGTTATCAATACAATATTCACTGTGCTGTGTTTCCAACCCCTACCCTAAGCCTCGCTTGCCTTCCTTCCACCACCTTATTTCACAGATTTAAGTCTGAAATTGGAACATAGTTCATTTCAAACAAGCTTAGCAAATTTGCCAAGAGATTTCAAACATGCTTTTTATCATTTTTACGTGTAAATAAATTCTCTTTTAAATATGACAAAACAGAACTTGATTAATATGTGCTCACAAATCTCACTGCAAGTAGTGGTTTCAGCCCAGTGTCAGCAAAGAGCATTGCAATGAGCACTTAGTTATGAAACTGTTATATTTACAGAGCATACGGTAGGGAGGTGCATTATGAAATATTAGTAATAAACTTGAAAGATATATGAAGCTTTGTAGTGTCAAGTGACGGAGGAAGAATGTAGAGTAGGACTTGCCATGTTGTGACGGCTTTGCCTATGACTTGCCATGTTTAAAACAAGGAAGGAGATGCCAGTCCTACACCTCTGAATGCGGTGAGGACTAGCTAGTTGCCCTAAATGTGTGTTGCTTTTAAAACTAAATAAAATAGATTATTTTTGCTTTTATGTAGGGATGCTGACTGTAATAGACTGTAGGGGATCCCTGACCCTGCCTGGCCACTGGAAGTACTCACACTCTATCCCTTCTGCAAGTTCCCCCAAAATCCTCTCTCTTTTGCCTGCCACAGTTCATTCTCATTTTAGGGTCTCCAGTTGGCATTGAGGAGCAGTGCAGTTTGAGTCCCATAGCACTCTAAACTGAGGCCTTCTCAGGACTGGATTGACAGTCTTTGTGGGGCCCTCCCCAAAGTTTTCTCTGGGCTTCTACAGGACTTTCCCCAGTAATCCTCAGGGATCCTTTTGATCTTTTCAAACAGTCTGTCAGAATACCAGGACCTCTGCCTGCTTGATGTACCCTCCTTGACCAGGAGAACTCAGGCATCTTGTCTGCTCTGCTGGTTTTTCCTGGTCAGTGATTCCTTCTGCTCCCCCTGGAAGCTGTCTGCTTTTCACTTCTTATGCTATTCCTGACTTCCCCTGTAGAGCTTGTAGCCACCTCATGAGGGCAGAGCTGCTTCTTCCTCTGGTCAGAGTGTTTAAAAAATTTTTTAAAAAAGCATTTTTCTTTTACCCTCTGATTCAGTGGTTCCCAACCCCTAGGCTGCAGAGGGTTGGCTGCTGGTCCGCAGGAGGGTTGGCTGCCAGACTGAAAGTCCAGAATTGATTGGCATACTGGAGACCGGCAGTCAACCAGTCCGCAGTATGCTGGTCTGTGGTTTGCCAGTCTGTGGTCTAAAAAGTTTGGGAACCACTGCTCTAATTCACCATGCATGGATGCATTGTGTTCCTGCACACTATCTGCTACTAATATTCAGTCACTTGGAATAGGTGTCCCACTTACTGACAGGACTGATAACAACGAGTACAGCACTAAGATCCTTTTTGTTTGTGTTGCAGGTGAATGATGCTCTGCAGTGCCAAGCAGGAACACCCGTCTTACCAATGGAACCTACTTCAAGATCTCCTGTGTGTGTAAATAAGCAATCCATGAAAGCTGTTGCTGAGAGTTCAAGAGAGAGCCTTGAAACGCCGAAAAACAAGTGTTCTTTGCGGAAACAAACCTTGCCTGATAAAGATGAAGAAGAAAACTGTAGGGTACAGTAAAGCTGCATTCAGATCACTTCAGAGCAAAATCCTGTTTAGAAGATCAGAAAATATTTGTTGTGACTAAACATATGTCTATATTTTCTTTTGTGAAAAGACTGTTTATTCTTTCACAACGTATTGGTTTTGTAGATCGTGTTCTTGAACATTTACTAATAGCTATACTTACTAAAGCTACTAGAAATACTCTGATAGAATAGATGTCCAGTTTTATTTATAATTGTGTTAGTAATACAGCTGATATTCTTGGTTGATGTAAATAATTTTTTAAAAACTTTTTGGAAATAGAAATTTTAATAGTAAGAAATAGCAAACCACATATTACATATGTGGGATATTACATTACAACCTACAGTATTCCTTTTGTTTACAAATACCACTTTACATTTTCAAAACAGGTTATTGTTTGCATTTATTAAACAAAAAGGTTCTCTAGATATAATGGAAACATGGGTGAACAAAGGAAAATGAAGTGAAATGGCTGCAAAACCAGTTTGCATTTGGCAAGACTGCACCTCTAGTAAAAATGGAAATTTAATGTAGGTCATGATAAAATGCATTTGAATTTGTGAAAAATCATTACAAAAAAGGCCAAGATAAAATAAAAACAGATTTATCACTTGAAAGGATCTCAAGGCCAACCTACTAGCTGAACACAATGCTAGGCAAAACAAAAGTATCACATCAGATTGATTATCTAAATGATTAATTGCCCAACTGAGTGGAAATGATTTCTCTTTTCTACCCCAGAAAAATCCTGTTCATGTTTACCTTTCCAGGCCAAGTATTAAAATAATCAAACCTGCTAAAACACTAACAGTAGGAGCCCTAACACAATAAACTGTACAATGTAGATAGAAGGTACTTTCTTTTTTTTCTGTTCTCATATTGGATCAGACTTTCTCTAGTTTTTTCCATAACTTTTCTTTATTTGTTAACCACCTGCCAGTTGAAAGAGGATGAATGCCCCCTCCCGCCATTCTTGTGTAATGTGTAAACCTAAGTGAACAATACATTTTTACTCCAAGTCAAACTTGTGTTATCTGTTGCATCTTTGTTGTTTTATTATTGAGTCGGGGCCTGGTGAAATGTACAAGGTTTGTCTCTGTGTTATATTTTTAAAATGGAGCATTATTCTAATCTAAAATATCAGGATTTTCCTTTTGAAAATTCTTCAAATTTTTCTGATAATATCAGGGGAATACATTAACCAGTGTAATTCAGATGTGGTTTTTTAAAGAAATATAGCAACTACAGGTTTCCCTCATTTCATGCGGGGTTCTGTATGTGCGAATTCGCTCTTATGCGATGACCCTTTTTTACCGAATATTTTGTTGTTATGTGAGGTAAATTCTTTCTTAGGCACTTGGTGTGGTGGAAGCCCACAGTCAGCTGCTTTGTGCGGTACACTGTGGGAGTGACGCACACCAAAATACAGTCTCCGGTGTGGCTCTGTGCTCCTCGCTTGCTGTCTGTGACACGTGTTTCTGTAGTTGCCATCCCCATTATGATAGTGCCCTGTCTGCTGTTGTTGAGTACCAACATTCACTTGTAAAAGTGATAGAAATGGGTCTGGGGGTCAGTACAATCGAGGTCTTGGAATGTATCCCTATTTGTTACATTGTAAAGAAGGTTCCCTTTA